CAGGACCAACCTGTTTAGTCTGACTCAGCAGCCAGCGATTACAAGACCCTTCACACTGCACAACGCTTCTTCGTATTTGCGATCTAAACAAATATTCATGTACATTCTCTAGAAACGAGTAGAGCATTGAGGCAAAGCAGGCAGCCATGGATACGATTAATTGCTTGGGACAATGCTAATACTAAGTTGTTGTTTTTAACGAAGCTTCATAAGATGCTTGGGGAAAAAAATGTTCAAAACTGCGAAGCAGACTTGCTCAAAGAAACATCCTGTAAGCGCCCGAGTGAGGACAGGAATCCAGGTCTTGGCCTTTACCCTAGAGGTCTACGATCTGACATCCTCAGCTGAAGAAAGCGCTGAGAAACTCTTGTAAGGAAACCAACTGCTGGCTTATTGAAACTGACATAAATTGGGAGCTGTTTGCTTTTTCTTTGTTTTTTAGAAGGATGCTTGCTTCAACAAAGCGAGTATTACTTTAAAGAACGTATGTAAATTGGTCTTTTTTTATGAATGGGAACAGAAATAACCCCAGACTGGAAGGCCAGGGAAGGGAAGCGGAGAAGAAGAGGTACCCCGAAGTTGCAGCATCAGAGGCTGTTACTCTATTTGAGTTGGAGAAACTGTCAAAAACTATAGAATTTTTTTAAGCTTTCACGAGGAGAAGAAATATTGCAGTTAAAAGAAGTGGTAATTAACTCCACAGAGAGCTGAAGCTGCATTACTCGGATTTCAACATGCACCTTCAAGGCAACCAGCCCTGGGTCTGCTCAACCTGGGAGAGTTTTACATCCGGAGCCTGCCAGCGGGCGAAGACTTACTACAACCGTGGCACATACACTACCTGTCATTGTTGGAGAGCAGAAATAATTTTGGTGAGTTTCAAAGTGTTTATAAAAATTACAGGGCTTCCCTGGTGGCGCAGTGGTTGAGAGTCCGCCTGCCGATGCAGGGGACACGGGTTCGTGCCCCGGTCCGGGAGGATCCCACATGCCGCGGAGCGGCTGGGCCCGTGAGCCATGGCCGCTGAGCCTGCATGTCTGGAGCCTGTGCTCTGCAACGGGAGAGGCCGCAACAGTGAGAGGCCCGGGTATCGCAAAAAAAAAAAAATTACAAGTCTGTTTCACTACAAACGAACTCCACTAACTTTACCCTAAATAATCAACGTACAAATAGAATGCCTGTTGGGGCTTCCCTGGTGGCGCAGTGGTTGAGAGTCCGCCTGCCGATGCAGGGGACGCGGGTTCATGCCCCGGTCCGGGAAGATCCCACATGCCGTGGAGCGGCTGGGCCCGTGAGCCATGGCCGCTGAGCCTGCGCGTCCGGAGCCTATGCTCCGCAACGGGAGAGGCCACGGCAGTAAGAGGCCCACGTACTGCAAAAAAACCCCAAAAAACAAACAAACAAACAAAAGAAATAGAATGCCTGTTAACTTATTCATGACTTTTCAGAAGGAGTGTTATTTTTCTTGATTCAGTTTGGTATTCAGCTTGGTATAATCATTTAATCGTGACTGAGTCCAGGTTTCATGAGGCAACGATCAGCGTTCAGAAGAGCTTTGAACCCACTGGGCTAGCTCGTCTCACAGCACAGCTGAATCAATTCCATAGTACTGAAACTGACATTTATGTATTCTGGGAAGTGCCTAGTAATTCTTCAAGGGATACATGAAGACACGGATAGATTATAAGAGGATCAATTTCCACCGCCTTAACTTTCACACGTACATTTACCTAAAAATGACCTTTTCCCACATCCCATTTCAAATCACCCCTTTCTCAAATTGCACTAATACAAAAACCTCTTAAAGCAAAGAGATAATTTAAGATTTAAAATACTGGCGTTAATAAGGTCTAAAAGTGGTTTCTAAAGGTTTCATAAGACACTGAAGGTGGACCTAAATAAATTTTCAGCTGATAAATCATTGAAAATAATTTTTGATGATAGAATTGTCAGTACTTTTCGGCCTCTCAGCTCAGGTGGTGTTCAGATTAAGAGTGATTGCCATAATAAAACTCCTCCTGTCCCCATCTACCCAAAACGAACACAATCCTTACGGCTTCCCTAAAAATAAAAGCGACAAGGACAAATAAAACTGACGCTGAGTAGTGAAAGAACGTCAAAGAACAAAGTTCCAAAGATGGAAATGAAATGGCTGCAAGGCATTCCATGGCGTTTCACGGAGGTATTGATATGCAGACAGGGAGAGAGAGCACAAAGGATATCGAGGCTTATGTGTAAACTCTCTTCTAAAATAGTGAGAAGAGGGGCAAGGACGTTTCAGTGGAGAAACCAGGCAGATGCCTCCGTAACAGAGTAGTAAAGGTCAACATCACCAGCAATGGGCCACGAGCCTTCCCGCAGCGGCTGCCACGAGAACACAGTATCTGCGATAGTCCTGTCAAATGGTAACCTTGATGCAGTCATGAGGAACTGCCAGACAAAACCCCAAGAAGAAACACTTTGCAAAACACCAGCCCATACACTTCAAAAATGCCCAACTCATGAAAGACAGAGTAAGGTAGGGCTCCAGATTAAAGGAGATTAAAGGGGTCTGCAGATTAGACAACAGTACAGTACCTGTCAGGGGCTGAATTGTGTCCCCCCAAATTCATATGCTGCAGCCCTACTCCCCAGTACCTTAGATGTGACTGTGCTTAGAGATGGGGATTTTAAAGCAGTGATTAAGGTAAAATGAGGTCGCTAGGGTGGGCCCTAACCCAACATGACTTGTGTTCTTGTAAGAAGAGGAGAGTGGAACAGAGACTTGCACAGGGAAAAGACCACGTGAAGACACAAGGATGAGGAAGGCGTCCATAAGCCACGGAGAGAGGCCTCCAAAGAAACCGAACCTGCCAGCACCCTCGCCTTTACCTTCCCGTCACCTGAACTGTGGACAAATAATGTTCTGTCCTTTGAGCCACCCAGTCTGTGGTATTTGTTATGGCGGTCCTAACAAACCAATACAGTACTGAGGTGACTTTCTTTATTTTTAATTATGCAGTAGAAAAAGAAGATGTCCTTGTTTGTAAAAAAATACAAACTGAAGCATTTAGGGGTCATGAGACATACTGTCTGAAACATACTCTCAAATGTATCAGAGAAAAAATGATACCTATGAATGAAGGAGAGCGAAGGAGAAAGAAAGAATATCAAAGCAAAAATGCTAATATATTAACATTTAATATATTAACATTTGGGGGAACATGGGTAAAGGTATAAGGAAATCCTTTGTATTATTTTTGTAACTTTGCTTTCTGTCTGAGATTATTTCAAAATAAAAAGTGTAAAAAATTTATGGCAAGCCTAGTTTCATTCTAATGATAGGTGAAATTTAAGAATGGGTACATTAACTACTTTTGTTCTAAGCCACAGCCATCTCATTAAGAAACAACAGTTTCCAATAATGTGTACTTTTCATTTTTGATAATTATCAAAATTTAATAACATGGTTGCTTTGATCACATATATAGTAATAATGACATAATACTATAGGTCAAAATTAATTTGTAATCCTTCTTATACATGTTTGTTTTAGACTATTATCCTAGGGTAATTAACAAAATAAAGCATAAAATATATTAGATTAGAATAAACTTTTGTGGCATAATAGAAACACATGTTCAAAGAGAAAGAATGATGCTAAATTTTTCAGTCGTAAGAGCTAGTCATTCTGTTTTTTAAGTGGACTTAAAAAATATAATAAATGTCAAGTTGTTCTAATACATAGAGTCCATCAAATACATTTAAAAGTGATGAAAATCAATATTTAGAATATACTGGAAATTACATTCTCTGAAACTTTTAAACTAAACAGAACAAATGTAGGGAATTCCCTGGCCGTCCAGTGGTTAGGACTCCACGTATTCACTGCCAAGGGCCCGGGTTCAATCTCTGGTCAGGAAACTAACATCCCAAAAGTTTGAGTGGTGCAGCAAAAAAAAAAAAAAAAAAAAAAAAAAAAAAAAGTATACTGTCAATATTTTATTTACGAGGAGACACATAGGTACAGAAAATGTTTGAAGTAAGAAGTATCTGACAACTGCACTAGTTTATTTCCGATGGGCCGAGTAACAATAAACATCCCCACGCGAGGGCCCGGGTGATGCAGAGAGGGGACGGGTGCTCTTACTAAACAGCACTAATCGCATTGTAAACAGTTAGCCCTAGTCACCAGAGTATTTTTTTTTTTTGCCATTTTTGTTTCTCTTTTAACTGTTTCCATTAGTTATGTGCTTGTTCCTATGGAATTCCGTCCTATTTCCGAAAAGACAGTTTCTCCAAACTACTAAGGTGATAATTCCCATTTACGTTGATTTGGCTTTATAAAAGGTTACTAAAATTTTCCTTAACTTCAAAATTCCAGTGATGTCATTAGAGGATTACTAGAGTTTATAGAATACTAAATGTTTAATTCATTTAAAATATAAAAATTTAAAAGAAAGATGATACATTCAACTGTTTTAAAGGGAGACTTCATAAAATAAATGGGACCTCATCTTATTATTCAGTAACCAGGGCTGGGCTGTTGTGAGGATTAAATGAGTTAACATCTACAAGGCATCTGACGAATGTGCTGAGTGGCTGCCTCACTTTTCCTCACAAAGGAAACTTTCCGGGCTCGTGTTAAGACATGAGTCATGACTCTCTTTTTGTGTACAAGAGTCTCAAGTGCGGTACAAGTGACAAACGCTAAGGGTTTGGATAACCCTCTCAGGCACATCAGTAGATTATCAGGAAATGTAAACCTTACATTCGAACGTTTTACCCTTAGGTTAACTTCATTTTTCTTTTTAACAAATTCACGCACTGAAATAAGTGTAAAAATTAGGAGATTTTTTTTCTTCCAAGGCATTTTAAGGTATTTCCTAAAACATGCACAACCAGGAATTGCTGTTTGGGGTTTCTAAAAGAAGTGGGGGGAAAAAAAAACAACCTTTATTTAAAAGGTTATAACATTTAATATTGAGTAGTAAAAAAGGTGTTTAAAAAGTATTACTTACATTGGCACAGTGTAAGGCTAAAGCACAAAAGACAGCAAACATTTTGAAGTTGTTTTCGTCCGTCTTAGAGAAGGCACTACCGCTGATTTTGTTCACCATCTGCACCACGCCTATCACGCTGCCCCGACTCACGATGGGCATGCACAGGATGTTCCGGGTCGTGTAGCCTGTGTACAGGTCCACCTCTCTGCACGAGAGCCAAGGAGCAAGACGACAAAAGAAAGAACAGGCAGAAGAAAATAAACCACACGTTCTATCGTAAATCTCAACTCAGTTTTGCTTCTCTTACCACTAACTGTAATGGAACTGTTAGCGTCTAAATTCAAAGACAACGTGACATCTGCAAGTGTTTTATTAAAACCTTCTCAAAAATATTCTAATGAACTTGTTCCGTTTTCAAGAGAGTTTTTCAGAACAGTCGTATATATTTTGCAAATATTTTCTCACAATCTGTCGCTTGCCTTTTCAGGTTCTTAATAGTTGATCCATACATTTTTATATAAAGGCTTTATAGAAGGATATGTAAATATTTTCAATATTTAAGTACTTTAATAGCAAGTTTGTTCCTTTAAGAAAAAACCTGAGATTTTCAGCATACTCTTCACGTATTGATAAAATCTATTACGGGGATACAGCTGTGTTTATACGCGAGTCATGAATATCTGACATTAATCAATCAGACGCCTGAAAAGCCTCCTGTTGCCTACGGTATTTAATTGTCTCTTGAAGGAAGCCCAGCGTCTGAATGCACAGAGCACTGCTGCCAAGACATGTGAGCCATTACTTTCAGTGGTCAGGGCGTCAACCTTGGGATTTCAATTTTGAGACATTTATTAAAATCGAACTATATAAACTGGTTTCTAGTTCTCCAAAGACACTCAGAACAAAATAAAAAATCTTTATAAGCAATCCTAATATCCACTTCAATAATATCCAACAAAGGCTGCAACTTATTGAGTTCCTACTTTGGGTCATATAAAGTTGCCAGACCTTTTATGAATATTTTAAAAATCTTAAAATCTTAATCTTAAAAAAAAAAACCCTACAAAATAGGTATTACTGTGCCCATTTTAAAGATGAGAAAACAACTGAGGCTCCAGATTAAGTAACTTACTCCAGGTCATTCTAGAGCCAATAAAGGACAGAACCAGGATTCAAAACAAGTACTTTTATCACTATGTGTTACAGCCTTTGAAGGTATTGCTTGATAAAGAATATGCTCAGGACAAAATGATGACACTACAATGAAGAAAAGTAACTTTATAAATTTAAACTCTTGCTTTTTAGTTATTTTTATAACATTTCAAACCCCTAAAGCTGGAGATAATTAATGGTTTAGAATATATCATTTTATATTGATAAATACCCGAAAACACTGAGTACTGATAATAAGCTGGTTCAAAGACAGTATAACAGCACCAAGTGGGGAAAAAAAAATTGAGTTGGGACACGAAGAACTAGGGCTCTACCTCAGAGGCTTCGGCCAAGCGGGACCCGGAAGGAGAAACCGACGGAGGACACAAACTCCTTCTTACCTGTTAAAGCGTGGGTCAGCATAGGCATCTGGAATGTTCAAGACTTCCCCTGTTCTTGCTACTTGACCAGCAATTCCTTTCTCAATTGAAAATCTGCACATACAAAAAAGAGGAACATGCTCGTTAAAATACAGATGTAAAATAATTTGAGACATTTCAGTACCACCAAATACTGAATAAAACAGATTGTTTACTTTAAATGCTTGTATTAGTTTTACCTTTACATACTCTAAATCATATTATTATAAAACACATAAAGGTAAAGCATAAAAACATTGCAGAGTAACCACTTGAGAACCTTGTTTTAAGATATAATTCACGATGTATTAAATTATACTGAATCACAAGCTGAAATTGAAAAATTAACTAGCATTCTCCTGCACTGACCAATAATAATCTTTTATATTTGCAAAATACCTTATAATTTACAAGATGCTTCAACATAAATTTTCTTAATTAATTCTCACTGTGAACTGAGACCCATATGGGTTCGATAACTTGCCAACACTCTTAAAATATTAGTGACACAATAAAAACAAGAATGCAGGTCAACGCCAGGGTACGTTCCACCACCCATGTAACCAAAACCACAGGTTATCTGTGATCTTTGAGATACAGGACTTGAATTTTAAGGCATTTGCAATACAAGTACTATACCAAAATAACACAATTTGCAACTTGTAGTATTTTTACTCCTCTAATTTGTTAAATTTAAAAACAGCCAGAATACAGGCATTATCTCACTACACTTAAATGTTTTGATGTCTAATATCAGCATTTTTATACATAAATATACTCTAAGACAACACTGTAAAGCAATTATACTCCAATAAAGATGTTAAAAAATATTCCTATATTTATAGTTTTCTCATTACGATATTATAATCAAACATGGATTCATTCAAAATTTAGTTAAGATGATTACAATCGCAATATCTACATATTTCAATAGCTCAAAAATTACTTCCATAATATTACATTTTCAGCATTATACAAAATAATCATTATTGAAATAAAGCTCCACCCTAAGGATTTCCCTAAGGAAAATTCAAAGGAGAATTGACACCAAAGAGAGCTAACTTTCTTAAAACACCAAAAAGTGAACGCAACCTTGCACAGCATAAAATGCGAGGTTGTTTTCGCCCCGGTTTTCTTATGCTTTGAACAACATGAACACAACAAATTAGAGTGCCTTGAGCAGAGCAGCAGAATCCACTTCACGGTTTATGCTTATTTTCTTGGTCTAGGAGTAGCTCGGTGTGGTTTGCTATCTCGGGTCAGTGGAAGCCATAACAGAGGGGCCAGTCCTCACATAAATGGCTGGCATCGCTTGGTCAGCCGAGAGAGCTACAGCCAACCATATCCCCCTCACTTGTTTTTCCCACACTTGTAAATACAGGCTCCCAAGTTAATGTCTTCAAAATGAGATCGATGCCAGCACTGTTATGGAACACTCAAACCTTCAGCAAGAGAAATGACTTTACCTAAATGACTATATCCAGACGGATCTACTGAGCTCTAAACAAACAAACTAAAACTAAAACACTTCTTAAAAAACCTAAATGGTGCCTGTAAGTCAGAGTTATGTGAGTATGGAATATAGGTTCTATTACCCCAGGACGATAGAATGGGAAGCACCCAGTGGTGGGCAGTAGTGAGGCCCAGTGCAGACCACATTCCATGTTTCCTTGTATGACAGACGGCCCAAGTGAATAGCAATTCTTATTAATAAGGAACAGCATTTTACTAGCAAGTTGTAACTACCAAGGTACTTTAGAGTACTATGCGGAAAAGTAGTTAAATGATATATATCAATATAAAGCAAAAGAAATGCAAATATCTAAAAAAAATACCATTTCTGAATGTTATGCTTGATTCTTAGCGGCTCTGTGACAGTACCCCTTGTAGGTGCCCAGACTGTCACAGGACTGAGCCACCGCACCTCTACCAGCCAAACTCCATTCTGTTCACCTAACTGACAACAGCTGCCACTTAAAGAACGAAGAAGGCTGCAGTTTCAAGATGCAACAAAAGTGTTCTCTGTGATCGATTAAGCCAACTGTTGGGTATAGCATAATGTGCTGAAGTTACCAAGTATACCAGGTCAATTTCCACTATGGTCTGGACTCTGAGACAGCGCTATGAGCTGGGAAGGGTGGGGTCCGGATTGTTTAAGTACACCTGCTCCTAGACACAGGAAACCTTGCAGACTCCAGGTGGGGTGCACCTTTACCTACCTGGCAGCACTAGTAAGTTTTTCCAACATGATTTCCAAAAGGACCGCCTCCGGAAGACGGCATTTCCAGGAGTGACGCTAAAGCTTCCTAGGCGCGGTTTCGCTGGCACTGCAAGGTCATTCCCAGAAGCACTACCTTCAGGAGGCGGGTCCTGGTGGGAATGATATCACAGTATGACAAGTACTGTCAGCACACCTGTGAATAGGCACAGACAAGTGGGTAACAGAGCACCTGCACAGCCGCCAGCACAGCGACCGACACGCTACTTCCAGCTGTACCTTATTTCTTTGGTCTTCTTGAAGACAGGTTTTCCTTCCTTTTCCTCTCCGATATCAAAAAGGTCCGAATATAACTCCTTGCTCTTATGGTCTACCTGGAAAAGCGCACAACGATCGGCATTCACCAGGTTTTTTGCATATATCTAAAGGGAAACGAGAAAACAAGAGTAAGCCAATGAGAGATTCACAGAGTTTACAGGTAAACTTTATCAGAAATAAATATTAATTTCAGCTAGTCTATACTGTAACTGGGTAGGAAATTAGCATTATAATTAAATAGACGTAGGCATATAAATACAAAAAATAATACTCTCCGTCACTGTCAAGGTGCCGACACTGGCAGCCGCTCTCCACCCACGCTGTGGGGGCAGATGTGGGAATGTTACAACACTCCTGGGTGGGCTGGAGAGCAGCTACTGGCCTTTCTCCCTGAGAGCCTGTCTGCCACCCTGGCTACTTTTCCAGAGCTTCTCAGGGCTCCCTGATGCCCTAGTCTGAGCCTCTGTCAGCTCTCAGGCCAGCATCCATTCTGACCGGCTGGCGTTTACAACATACCAGTTGTAAAAAGTATGAAATGTGTGTCCAATAAGACACACAGTGTTCATATTTACATCAGCTGCATTTTATTTGCTGCACTAACAATAATGTGTAACCATTAGTAAGAGTTTACTATGTGCCAGATAGTTTTCATAGACTTATGTGCATTAATTCACTTCATCCTCACAATAACAATATTAATTCAGGGGAAACTTAACCGCCTTTCTACACATTAGAAAAACTGAGGCACAGAGAGGTCACTTAACTTGTCCGCTATCATGTGGCTAGTAAACGGATCTGGTATTTGAACTCATACTAGCTGTTTCCATGGCCTGTGCTCTTATTATCAAACATGACTTACTATTTCTGAATGGAAAATTGTGGATTCATATTGTCATGCATTTGTTCATCAATTCCCTTCAACAAGTATGTCTTTAACGCCTAACATTTCTCACTGTCCCCAGTGGGCTGGGATTACAGGTATGTCACAAAAAATTGTATTTACCCATATTCAGAATTCTGGCAACATCAAGATGATAGACGTGAAATTATTGCTCAGAGAAAAAGAATTACTTCTCAGAGAAAAAAAGCCATCACAAAGTCTACGCAAAAGGGACATAGGCCACCTTGTGGTCAGAGGAAAACATATAATCTCATGTAAAAATACCTTATAGATTAAATAAAAAGAAATCAGAGTGGGTTAGGTACCCCGGTTCATTCTCATATCGTATCTTTGTCTTTCCTGCTATTATAAGCTGTACTCATTCACTCAGCAAACACTGGCTGTGCCTTATACGCCACGGACCAAGTACGGGGCATTATGAGTGTTAGAATTTCCAGGTGACCTGTCTTGGCCACAAGCTGACTGATGAGGACCTCATCAGTGGAAACTGCTTCCTTTCCCCCACGGTATTCCAAACGCCCAGAACCAGGCCTAGAGCAGAGGACGGCTAAAGTCCACAGGCCATTTAAATCCACCCCATTGCCTGTGTTTGTAGATAAAGTTTCACTGGGACGGAGCCACGTGCATTCCTTTAGGCATGGTTCACAGTTGCTACAACAGCAGCGTCGAGTAGTTGCAACACAGTACGGCCCACGAAGCATAAAACTTTACTACTGGCCCTTAAAAGAATTTGCCAGCCCTTAGGTTAGAACATATAAGAGCTCTCAATAAATACTTGAGGAGGAGGGACAACGTGACGGTGGGAAGGGAGCTATGGGTGTCACTGCTGGCGATCCCAGAACCATCACCCGTTTATTCTGCACACTCACGCGATCTTGAGTTATTAAGTCATAATAAACTATCTACAGTGACATCTGCATCCTTAGTGGTCATGCTGGCTGCTTGATACTTGGGCACATATTTAGGTCAATAGTTATAAAAATCTGGATGAAATGGACAATTTTCTAGAAAAAGGAAATGAATTTAGAAGGAGTTGAAAAATCTGAATGGAATCAGAATCATAAAGACAATTGAAATACCGTAAAAATAATTTATTCCCATAAAAGGCAGCAGGCCCAAATGATTTCAAATATGAATTACTTAAGAGTCTTCACGAATAAAGTCCCATCTAATTTAAATCGTTGTAAGTTCAGACAGAACAAAACTTCTCCAGTTATTTTTACAACCCCTGCTATGTCACTGATACTAAAAATTGACAAAGATACTATAAAAAAGAAAATCACAGACCAATTTACCTTGGAAACAGAAGGAAAATTATAAATACACATATTAGCAAGTCAAACAGGAATAAATATTTTAAAATTTCCATATTTTAAAATTACACTCTATTCATAACTGTCCAGTATTGTAAAGTCTATTGTTATAGCTCATAAAGCAATAAAACAAAGGAGAAAAATCATATGATTGTCTTTATGGCTGTCAAAAAATATATGTAATGAAATTCAGTAATTATTCATGATAAAGTTTTAGTGAAATGGGAAGAGAAGAAAAAATATATACGTACATGTGTATATATCGGTATGTATACACATCCTGATAATATGTGACCATATCAGTCCTCATCATACAAAATGATAAAATACCAGAATTAACCAATTAAGACATTAAAGTTATGAACAAGACAAAGACATGTTATAAGTATTAACACACAATTAGGTAAAAAACGCATGAGTATACATATTTGAAGAGACAAAAGTTTTACTGTTAGGTGACAATGTTACTGAGTATGTTGAAAAGTCAAGAAAATCAACTGAAAACAATTACATGCAATAAGAAAGACTTCTGTTTTAAGATGAGTGACTCTAAGCACGTTTACTTCTTCATTCTCCCCGAATATTAAACTTCCAGTTTGAAATGACACTCACATACTGGAAAAGAGTTAATAAAGAAATCCTAGGCATATGTTGGTAATACTGATGAACTCCAAGCCTCAGAAGGTCATTCTAAAAGCCATCCCCGCTCCTACACACATCCTCTCTCACACACGCACAGACACACACATGCACACACACACACGCACACGCACGCAGGTTTACTTACAAGCGGAAGATAATTTTTGACAGCAACAGAGGATTTAAAATTCAGTGGAAATATATCTTCAAATTTCTGAGGAAAACTTGTCTTAAACTTAAAATTCTTTACCAAGTCAAACTAGCATTCAGTCATAAGGCAAAATAAAGACATTTCTCAAGCACACAGATGAGCTTGAGCAAAAATAAACAAATAGATAAATTCAAGAAAGCACGGGAAGACCTGGGGTACAAGAAAAGGTGATGAGCAAAGAACCCACTAAAACTATAACGAAGCTGTAAAATTCACTAGGAAATGATATGTAAGGAGTTACAGGTGTAACATAAAAAAGCAAATTAAAAAAAGACTTAAAATATCTGGTTGCGCCCCCCAAATATATAAGATTAAAATGCAAAAAAGGAAGAAGTAAAATTATGCTGTGTTTTATCATGGACCACACATACGTGAGCTGGACAGACAGAGAAGGACATATTCCTGAAAACATAATTTGAGGCCCCAGGTCCGGCAATTACAGAAGTCTGAAATTTCAAGGTTTTCAGTGATAAGGGCCAAGAAATCCCTCCTTTTATTCTCTCAAACTAATATGAGTTAGGTAGTTGATGTCTTTTGGCTTTTACACCAAAGAGTCCAAATTAACAAACAAGATCAAGGCGAGTCTGATTTGAGAGAGAGAGAGGGAGGGTGGGAGAAAATATTCATTAATTGAATTACAGATGAGGAAGGGAATTTAAGTACAGATCAGAAGAATATTTGAAGTGTCCATAAATTTATAAAAATTAATTGGAAAGTCTCATTCATTCATTTTCAACTAGCCGATGAACCACCTCTCCACGGAGAATGTGAAAACGGTGAAGGCATTTCTATTTCTGGTGGACCGGCTGGTGACGAGTAGCTCTTGGCATTTAGTTCTCAGAGGTTAAAGATGCTGAACACCTGCAATGCTCAGGCCAGTACTGTGTGAGGAGGAGAGGGTCTGCCTAAAATGTCAATATCACCCCCCACTGAGGAACAGTGTGCACATTAGGAAAACTATATCCACTCTCACTGGTTCCTTTCAACAGTGTTCTTAGGTCCTAGCGAATACATTAAAAAACAAAAAAGAAATAGTGTAAGCATTGGAAAAGTACAACCACTGCTCTCATTATATCATTATAAACGATTTTCTTTCTTGAAAATCCAAGACTGTAAACTGAAAAAAAGCAGCTTAGCAAATATGGGGAATCAAAGTCAACACATTCAATCTAGAGAGATTTTTAATTGAAAATAAGACAATGTTTTTGTATAAGAAGGCTACATATGCTAAAGGTATCAACTCTACTTAAGATTTTATTAAATTAAGGTAGTTCCAATATAAATCATACACCATGATGAAGAGGGATGCGTCACAGGAATGCAATAGACTAAAAATTTAAAAACACATGATCATCTTAATAAATGCAGAGAAAATGGATGTTGACAAAATCCAACGTCCAATTAATATTTACAATACTCAAAAAACTAGGAACACAAGGGAACTTCCTCACCCTGATCAAGGCCACCCATGAACAGTCCACAACTAATCCATCTACTTAATGGTGAAAGACTGGAGAATGGATGCTTCTCCTCTAAGATCAGGAATAAGACAAGGATGCCCACATTCACCATCCCCTAATTCAATACTGTACTGGAGGATCCAGCCAGATCAATTATGCAAGGGAGAAAAAAAAAAGGTATACAGATTAGAAAGGAGGAACTAAAACTATAACTCATTACGGATGACATGCTCTTGCATATAGAAAACCCTGAATAATCCACTAGGAAACTAATGGAAGTAATGACTTCATCAAGGTTGCAGGATACAGGATCAAAATATAAAAAACAATTTCATTTCTATATATTTTCAATGAAAAATGTGAAAATAAAATTAAGAACACGATTTCATTTCTAATATCACTAAAAGATAAAATACCTAGGAATAACTTTACCAAAAGAAGAGCAACGCTTGTACTCTGAAAATTACAGAACAGTGTTGAAAAGAGTAAGAAGAGCTAAAGAAATGGAAAACATCTCATGCTGATGTACTGGAAGTCTTAATATTATTAAGATGGCAATACTCCCCAAATTGATCTACAGAGTCAACAAAATCCCTACCAGAATCCCATCTGAATTATTTGTAGAAACTGACAAGTTGGTTTCTAAAATTTATATGGAATTGCGAGGGGCCCAAAACAGCCAACAAAATAATTGAACATGGAGAACAAATGTGTAGGACTCACACTTCCTGATTTCAAAACTTTTTATAAAGCAGCAGTAATCAAGACATGGTGGTACTGCCATTAAGCTAGACACATAGATCAACTGAACAGGACCGAGACCCTAAAAAGAAACCCATGTGTCTACGCTCACCCGATTCTAACAAGACCACATTCAAAGGGGAAATAATAGTCTTTTCAACAAATGGTGCTGGTAAAACTGGATAGCTACATGCAAAAAAAATGAAGTTGGACCCTTACCCCATAAACAAAAATTAACTAACGTAAGTCAAAACCTTAAATGTAAAAGCTAAAGCTATAAAACTCTTAGAAGAAAATATTGGAGTCAATTTTCATAATATCTGATTTGGCAATGAATTCTTAGATATGACACCATAAGCCTGAGCAACAAAAGATAAATTAGACCTCATCAAAGTTAAAACCTTTTGTGCTTCAAAAGATACTATCAGGAGAGTGAAAAGATAATACACAGATGGGAGAAAATGTCTGCCAATGATACATCACATAAGGGAGTGGTATCTATAATACTTGATGAAATCTTAGAACATAACACTAAAAATTAAAGTAAAAAGCAGCCAATGAATCTGAATCTTTCATCACATGACAAGATGTTCAACATCATTAGTTACCAGGGAAATGCTATAGTCAAAACCACATTGAGGGGCTTCCCTGGTGGCGCAGGGGTTGGGAGTCCGCCTGCCGATGCAGGGGACACGGGTTCGTGCCCCGGTCCGGGAAGATCCCACATGCCGCGGAGCGGCTGGGCCCGTGCGCCATGGCCGCTGAGCCTGCGCGTCCGGAGCCTGTGCTCCGCAACGGGAGAGGCCACAACAGTGAGAGGCCCGCGTACCGCAAAACAAAAACAAAAACAAAAAGCCACATTGAGATAGCACTTCACATCTACTATGATGGCAATAATCAAAAAGGAAGATAATAACCGGTGCTAGTGAGAACGTGGAGAAACTGGAACCCGTGTGCTGGCAGGAATGTAAAATGACACAAGTGCCATGGAAAGTTTGGCTGTTCCTCAAAAAGTTAACCATAGAGTACCATGTGACCTAGCAAATCCACTCTTACCTAAAACAACTGAAAACAGGTATCAGAACTGAAAATTGTACCCAAATGTTCAAAAGAGCACTATTTGCATTAGCCAAAATGTGGTGATGGAGAGGCGACAGCTAACATGGTATGAAGTTTCCTTCTGAAGTAATGAAAATGTCCTAAAATTGACTGGTGATGGTTGCAAATGTCTGTGAATATACTAAAAACCACTGATTTAAACACTTTAAATGGATTAATTGTATCATACAGGAATTGTATCTCAATAAAACTGTTTCTTAAAGTATAATATTAATAATATAAGAACTGGTCAATACTCCTTGTACAAGCTCTATGTTGATCCATATTATATCTACATATTTTCATATTCTTCTTAATACTTTTCATTGCTTTACAGATTCCTTAAATTGTATCACAACCAAAGAGTTATTTTTTTTACCGTGCAATCAATGTTTCTCTTTTTTTGTCCAAATACAGCTGAACCTTGAACATGGCAGGGGTTGGGGCACTGACCCTCTACACAGTCAAAAACCCCTATATAACTTACATCGCCCTCCACATACGCGGTTCCTCCGTATCCACGGTTCCACATCTGCAAATTCCACAACAGCAGATCGTGTAGTACTATAGTATTTAGTACTGACAAAAGTCCATGCATAAGTGGACCCATTCAAACCCATGCAGTTCAAGGGTCAACTGTAAAATCATCAATGTAATTAATTACAGAAAGAATGTGTAAAAGTAATAACCCCTAATATTACCCTCAGTAAACTGTCTGTTTCTACAAGACACTGAGCATATCACACTCCATACCTGGCCTGCCATGGTATCAAAGAGAAATTGATCAGTGCACATCAGAAACCTGGAGGTGAAAAAACCCTTGTTGCACAGGATTACTATATTTTGAGAAAGACCAGGAAGATGGGAAGGAGAAAGAATATTTATCAAAATAGACAACAGGGCACGAACAGCACCGAGCAAGCCAGCCTGGCACCCATGGGTACACATGCACATCACTTCGACTACTAGAAGCCACTTCCTCAGTGGAGTCTCTCCAGAGCACTAAAGCAGCAACACTACACGTGGCGGAAAAAAATTCTATTTCATGTGGCTTTCAACCACAGTTGCCTGTGAGTCTTCTAGAAGAGAGAAATAGTTATGACTAAAACTAAGTAGAATGAACCTCAAGATCAGGAAGAATCCACTGGAAATTCCTAATATAACCTATATGCAAAAGGTATTCTGAAGAAATCATAAAAAGAAACTAAACGTTTTTCCAAATTAGCTCTCCACTAAATAATCAAAAACTCTGAGGTATTTTTCAAAACACTATTCAAAACCCCTCCAAAATTAACAGAAGTGACAAATCAAGGTGACACCTCCAGATCACTAAGCACCACCCTTTCATCATATTTAAAAGAGCACGTGTGTCTCGTACAATAAAATGTTCCACCACATATTAGGACATGAATCTAAGGATTAAATCAAGTCATTTTCCAAACAGAAGGCAACCTACCATTATGTGTTCAAGTAGAGAATCTATTGCAACTATGTTATCAAAATACGTTCTGAAAAAAAGGAAGATAAAACCTTTAAGTAATGTTATTAGAACAAAGAACATGTTAAACTTTGAATACATTTCCCAATTTTGTCTACATTTAAATAAAAAACATAAAGGTATATGTTGTTTGATTTTTGTCCTTTTGTGGAAACAACCAATAATATTATTGTAAAGAGAGAAATGAAAGTTTATCATTGACTTTAGTATAAGGACTCTAATTCCGGAGGCTGCGTTAAGTAATTATTTTATCAGTAAGTATACAAGGTAGGGAGAAAGTTTGGGGCATTTAACTTAAACTATGAAGAAATAAAATTGGTTTCATCAAACTTAATACCTCACAAATTACTTTGATCTAAAATAAAAATATTTAAATTTGCTAAATCTCATTAATATGCTAAAAATGTAAATTATCACTGGAAAAACTCAAAAGTTAAAATGTAGTTTAACTGTACTAAGAAAGCAAGGCAATTCATTTGAGACGAGATCTCAGAATACAAATAATGGCAAGGACCTGACCACTTTACACGAGTAAAATATATATTCATCATTTTGAACTGCAAGTAAATATTTGGGAGGCATATGGTACATACATTAAAATGTAGACCAGAGAAACAGAGGAATCAACAGGCACGTGTTACAGGGAATCTATAAAGAAATACTCTTAATATAGACCCGATTGGCAAGGTACCGCTTCCAGTTTAGTTTTGTGAGAATTTAGTAATGTATTCAGGATTAAGGTAAGTTATAGCAATAAACAATGTCCTTTTTTTAGAAGAGAAATCATCTGGCCTGAAGCTACCAATACGCTTCGTTACACCACCCACTGAGGAATATCCTGCAAGCAACAGGGGGAAGCAAATGGGTTTCCCACTGGGGAACAGATTTAAGGTGTCACATGAGGGTTTTAATTGGACTTTGGGAGACCTGCAAAGTATTCAAATACATTAGTACGAGAACGTGCACAGCTTCCCTTCCTAGGTGTTTCTGAAGTCGTAATATCATGTGTCCCAGAGATACTGTTTAATTCCATCTCAAAGAAGATAGTTGGCCTAGGGGATCAATAGAGCACTCCCTCAGTCCCATACCTCTCTAATTTTATATTCCAAAGCACAAAGCAGCAACTTCAGAATCATTAGTGATGAGGATTACTAGACTGGGTGATGAGTTGGTTATGAAGTGTGCCAGGGTGACATGTGAGTGAGAACACAGTCAGAGTTGTGTTGGAGGCCTTGGAGGCACAGGTACATCACACCTTGAGTTAACTTGTCAGAGGATGGGACCTGAAGTTACCATGTCCTGGGGCGTTTTAGATTTCAACAATTAAGCAGATGGGTCAGAGAAATACGAGATCTTCCCTGTAGCAAGCAAACCCACTATGAACCTGAAATTTAATAAATATCTGTAATTGCTTCCACTGCCAGCTCAAGGGAGTTTTTCTAGGTCAAACTTCAGGGAAATGGAGCATTTTCTGGAGAATGATATCTGAGCTACTATACATGAGATAATTAAAATGATCATATTAAGAGTCTGTTTTAATGTACTGACATTTGTTGAAAAGGCCAGAGAGGACTATTTGGAAAATAATAAACTAGGACATTTCCTCTCCTTCTACTGCTGTCAGTTTTCTCCTATGAAAATAGAAGTATCAATACTTAGTGCATCTCTCTAGATAGTCTCTAACACCTTCTAGTGAGTCTGTTTAGAAAATATATACCAGCTTGTAAATTAAAATCATCACATATACATCTGCGATCCTTCACTTGTAAAGTGAACGTGGATGAGGATGTAACTCTGTGATCCAAAATACGAACGACCATACTTACCTTACCACTCGCCTAATAAAGATTGGTCTTCTGTTACTGACTGCACTAGACAGTAATCTATCACTGTCAGAGCCTGCACTTAATCTAAACCGTTGATCAATAAGAGCTACCACATCCCTAGAAATGAACACTTACTTTGATACGTCGAGTAGAAAGTCATTCAATTCAGTCTGTTTGGCAAGACCTCTGCATACCTGCCATACAAAATAATGGCTATTAATTTTAAGGGAGTTCTGCTTATTTAAGAATAAAAATTCCAGAATACTATTTACCTTATTTATTTAAAAAGGCGTAACACAATCACTACTTCAATGCTTTTAAAATTGTACTTGGGTGCATATCCTACCTACATTCAATACTGTCAGGTCCAGAAAGCCCTTGCTTCTCATACCATTATCCTGAAATATATATACATTTTCTCCCTATCAGACAGTTCCTCATCAACCTGAGTTTGCTGAAATGGACTTAAAGGAACAAAACGAGAAAAAGTGGAAGATACAAAATAGAATTCTATTGCTGCCATGTTCCTGAACTTAAAAGTCTAGTTCTCGGGAAAACTCCATGCAGTTTGTGATCTTTTAAATTAGATCACATTTTCAAGAGAATCAGGTATCTTAAATAACAATTAATGTTTAAGATTAATATTTTCATATAACACTTAGTTTAGTGGATGTTTTAATTTAGGAAATGGAATCATAAAAATATCAGTGTTACTGCCAGGAGGAGGTCATTCCTGGGCTTTCAGTGGAAAACAAAAACCATGATAGGGAACATAAATAATTTAACATTATATGTAAATATATAAAAATAATTAATTGGAAAATATTTAAGGCAGGGAGTAAGTAAATATAAGCGAATAGATCAAACATTTTAGAAACAACAAAATACCTAATATCCAAAAACAAAGCACTGGGTTACTTGTTAACCTCCATTCCGTTCCCCAATGCTGCACTCCAAACACCCTTTTCTCCTAGGAAGCCCCTGTGAAAACATCCCAAAGACACACCTGAACCTGATGTATGGCTACTGAAGCCCAGGCAAGATTTGCTGTTGCAACCTAAAAAAAAAAAAAAAAAAAGAGTATGAAGCAAGTTTTTATCAGTCACATGCAGACATCCCAGCGAAGGACTCTAGCATAAACATATATGAACAATTTTGTAAGATCACTGCATTTTTGAATATTTTGCCAAATGTGAATAGTCAAACATATATAAAGTTTCTCTTTTATATTTCCCACTTCTTTATTATTGAGTTTAATGCTCTCTTGTCCCTCCTACTTCCGGTTAAAAAGGAAGATAAATTGATTAAGAGAGCTTTCATCCAATGATTTTAACATAAAATAATTATTTTTCAGTTCAACCAAAATACTACTAAAAAGGCCTCTAATGACCACTTTAGAATGAGGAAGTGTTTCCCAGACTTCACTGACAAGCGCTCAAACGTCTATCTATTCCATTTCTTTGATTTTTCATCCATCTAACAAATATTTATTGGGTGCCTACTAGGTACCAGGCGCTGTTCTAGATGCTGGACATACAGCATGAACAACAGAACAGCTCACAGCTGCTGCGCAGGAAGAGAGAAGGGCGAGAAAGAAAATAAAGCGAAGCGCACGTTATACTGGCTGGTGACGCGGCTATAGCGGAAAAGAGGCACGACAGAGGGACAGGAGCCGCTCACGTCTGTGTGCGGTGTTCAGCGAAGCCTGATCAGAGAGGGTGACCTTAGAGCACACTCCTGAAGGAGGCAGCTGGGGCTGGGTACAGGACAAGCGCAGTGCAAGGGGAGGGAGAACAGAGGCGCAGGCTGTGTGCAGGAGAGGGCCCAGCATGGCTGCAGGCAGGGAAGGGGCTGGAGCAGCAGAAGACAGGTCATCTTGGTAAGTGCACACGGGGTGCAGGCCACGGAGGGACTTGGGTGAACACCTCGTCTGACAGATAGATCATGTACTGTTTGGTTTTAGTAGGACTGAGCCGTTCCGGTTCAGGGAACAGTGAACGGAAGTTATTGTTTCCCAAATGGATTTGAGGCTGTTACTTCTAATCAGGACATACTCTAGGAAGAGGACATTTTTAAGGGGTCAACTAGAATGTGAAAACTCTCCAAAGCCATCCTACTACTTCATTTGATTCACAAGATGGTATTTTATTTTTATTGTTAAAATGGATCCTTACTAAAATAACTTACTATAAATTTCTATATCGCTATATTGAGTGAGTGTCCTCTCTAAACAACTGCAAGACAAAAAAAATGTTTTAAAAAATCGTTAGTAGTAGTATCAAAATATTATTAAGCAAATTACGGCTTTAAATATTCCCTCATGAAATATTCATCATTTATTAACGGAACAATATTAATAAGCACCTTCAGTGAACTAGGTGCAACTAAAAGTCCTCACAGGCAGTGTCCAGGCCTCACCTCCTGATGACTCAGACAGAAGGCTTCCTTGCCCCAGTGCCGGTACAGCTCAAGGATGCCGATCAAATCACCGATCGCCGTGACAATTGGCAAACAAAGAACAGACTGGATACGCGTCCCTGATTCCAGTCCGGTACCTCTTGGAAATCGTTCATCCTAAAAAAACAGAAGGGTAAAAGATATAAACTCAGTGAAAGTAATGGAATCATCAAGTTATGATTCGATCAGAAAATTCCTTATACTCGTCATCAGTAATGAGCAGTCCTTTTCAAAGGAAAACCAAATGATCATGGCCACTATAAACACTGCTTAAGAAAATGCTTATCTTTAGCAACGAGGAACTTATACCCAAATATGGATTTAATGTTTCTTTATCACTGTACAGTAGAATTTAATTAGTGAATGAATATACATAACTTCATGCAATAATAAAAGTAATTATGATGGTTAACATTCATTTATTCCTCACCTGGTGTGTACCAGAACTAAGGGATTTACAGGTATAAGGTCACAAGTGAAAATTACTCCAAATGTAAAGGCCATAGGAAGGAAATTACATGTATAAAATTTCTTCCCTTCTATTTTTAAGGTTAGAATAACACAAAAGCATATGTTAATGAAAGTCATTGTAACTGAACCTCAAAGGCCCATATTAGATATTCAGATCATCCAATAATTACCAATTACCTATCATAAGAAATGAATCGGCTCTTTGACTTAACTTTCTAGCTTAGCAAAATCACTCAAAGGAACACAAGAAACTCAGATGAATTAATATCAAAACGTCAATTCTATGTATTCAATTTCTGTGGTCTACAGGAAGCTTTTCATGAATAGACTGGTATAAATCTATACTTTGTAATTTACAGATATTTTGAAAGCTTGCATATACATACAATAGAACATTTTGAAATGACAACTTATACAGTATCTACTTTTTACGTTTACTTCTTAGAAATGAAGTATATTTGGCATCCAACACTGTGGAAGTTTAAGGTATACAACATGTTGATACGTTTATATATTGTAATATGGTTGCCACTGTAGCGTTGTTAATACCTCTATCAAGCCACATAATTATCTCTTCTTTTTTGTGGTGAGAATAATTAAGATCTAGTCTCTCAGCAAGTTTGATGATTATAATACAGTATTGTTGTCTATATACATTATACTGTGAAACATTTATTTTTTAGCACTTTTTCTTTTCTTATTTTTGATAAAGTAACTAGTAACCTGATTTGTTCAAGGCTATACAGATAACTAGTGGCAAAAACAAAATTAATATCTAGATTTTGTGACTCCAATTTAGTACTTTTTCAGAGCAAATTCATGACACCTATATACTTGTTTGTATGCTTGTCAGTTTCAAAGTCTGAGCTCATGCAGTGACATTTCATCACAGTGTACACATGCACTGTGGCAGACTGCTCTGAGGGCTCTGTTTTGTCCTGTTCTCTGTACCCATGGCCTTGGTCAGACCCTCCTACACTCATTCTGGGCCTCCCATGAGATTTGCTTGGCTAACCTGAGGGCAGTGAATTTGATGTAAGCAGAGGCTTGAAAAGTCACTTGCATGTGTCCACTTCTTCTCTCTGACACCTGCCACCATCATAAGAACATGACGCTAGCCTTACTGGATGGGGTGGTGAGACACACACAGAGATCGAAGGCCACCTAAGACTGGCCAGCTCCTAAGTGATGGCCAGTTGATCTCAGACACATAAACAAGCCCAGTCAAAGATAGCCCAGATCAGCAGAATGGCCTGATCCAGAGACAGTGAGTGGTGGCTGTATGACCCCATTAAAATCTGGGGTAGTTCGTCACACAGCAATAGCTGACTCATTCACATATATCCTGCTAGGATATGAAACATAAAACAGTAATCATCTAGTCTATATGACTATGAGTATACACTTTATGCTTAACTATACTGGCAAATGTTGAAAGAACAACTACTCAAATCTAAATCTTAGGGGTATGTAAGATATAATTCTTGGAGTACAAAGAATTAGTTTACATACAAATGCATTTATTGATCTGTATCTTGCTTTAAAGCTGTTATAAAATGGCTTAAATTAAAACATCAAGAGTATATGTTATCTTTCTTAATTAAATACTTCAGGTTACGAATGTCACAAAGGGTAAAAAGCCACTTACCCCAAGGATGTCTTCTACTAGCAACGTTTTTCTGGACTTGGCCACATAGGCAGAGGTGGTGGTGCCCTGGGCGATGGGCCCAGCAGGGATGAGCCTGGGTTTTCCTTCCTTGATTCCAGGTGGGGTAAACACACAAAGGCTCTAGGAAGAAAAAAGGAATATGTTTTATAGACTTAGGAAAGTCTTTGGCACAGGACGAAAAGATTACTTAACAATCGCGAGAAATCTGTGAGCCAAGGAAAAGTAGAGACGTAAGATGAGGAAAGGTGCTTTGCGTGACCAAACTGAGCATCTGAGGTGAAACTCTCTTTCATATGTCCTACGCACACAACACATAGGCTAGATACAGGACTCACACAAATGTCTAGGTGCAGAAAATCTCTTAAAATAGCCTCCGATTTTTATCCACAGAAAATAATAAAATGAAAACAAAATGTAAGCTGTCCTTGGGCTCAAGAAACTATCACACAAGAAACAGACACACTGCACCCCACCACCCTACAGACTTGCCACATGGCTCTGTGACTACAGGTCAACGTGATTTGGTTATATTTTTTCATTTTCATTAAAAATCTTTTTCAGAACATTACTTCTATTTTTAATACTCAACCACTCCATTCCTAAAACTGACCTGCCCATAAAATTACAGATTCAGAATACTCTTGGTAAAATTTTTGCTCTTCTCTGCACACACACACCAAAAAAAAAAAAGAAAGGACAAAGCTGGGTGTATCTTTCCGTCTCAAAAGACTAGGTGGGAGGGTAACATTTGAAACTATTTTAAAAGAAATGTTTTTAAAAATATGATCTGTTATTTTGACTAAACCAAATTATATTTTAAAATAAATTTCTACTAATTAAGAATTGCTCATCCAAACAAGTCATCTGGGCATGGGGAGCAATATTTTGACATAACTGTATTATGATTATCTACTCAATTTGAAAAATATTGAAGTTCTGCTAAATTCTCCCAACACTATACTTTTTTTTTTGCCGTACGCGGGCCTCTCACTGTTGCGGCCCCTCCCATTGTGGAGCACAGGCTCTGGACGCGCAGGCACAGCGGCCATGGCTCACGGGCCCAGCCGCTCTGTGGCATGTGGGATCCTCCCGGACCGGGGCACGAACCCGTGTCCCCCGCATCAGCAGGGGGACTCTCAACCACTGCGCCACCAGGGAAGCCCCCAACACTATACTTTTATTTTATTTTTAATTGGAGTGCTGTGACTTAAGGATGATGCCCTTTTGAAGCAGTGAGTATTAGGCAAACCTCTGAAGCTAAAGATGCTCCTATTAATGCTTTGCTAGCACTAAGCTAGGTCCAGCTGAGGACAATGAGTTGGATGTGGTTATTACTTTTTAGACAACGTGGTTTTCAAGCTTCGTAATGTCGAAGAGCCCTTTCTTCAAGTAAAACCTTACAGTCACAAGAGAGTGAACCCTATAAACTTGAGCTACTTCAGTCACTGGGAGCAGAGAGGAGGAAAAGAGCTTTGGCTCTCACCCCATCTGCTTTAAGTAAGTCGTCATTACCTAAAGATTACAAGTTAAGTTCAAAATATTTTTATTCATTAATATATCTACATTAGTTAGGATTGTGTTTAAGCAGCAATTTACTATTATGCCTGTGAAAAATGCTTTTTGAATGCATCTTTTAAAAAGGATTAAGCTTAAAATGTTTACATACAAGTTACACACTTTAAAAAGATTTTTACAATTCAGCTACACGTAAGATGATAAATGACAAATGCACTTTATTTTTAAAGAGGCTAGAAAGAAGTCAGTTTTTATAGTTACTATAATGCACCAATACACATATGACATAAACGAAGTAAGACTTTCATTAGATTTAGTATCTATGTGGCAATACAATGCAGTGTGTCACCCCTTCTTAAGATTGAGAGAGAGTAGCGAAATGATCCAAGAACAGGAAGAGAGATGACTGCAAGAAAAAATGTTAAAGGACGTGGTATATTTAGCCTGAATAAAAGTCAGAATTGACAATGATTTTTCCAAACTATGACAAAGTTAATCGTAAGACGGATGCTGAGTAATGTTTCTTTACTCAACCAGAGTCAGAACTGCAGGAAACGAACTTAAATTGACCTGAATCGTTCAGTTAAGTCTTAAAGACCTTCCCATGACAGCAATAGGAAGTAAACTCGAAAGCAAGCTCCCGACAGAAGCTTTGGATTTTTTAAAATAGTTGTTGACTTTATTTGTTTGTTGTTTGAAGATATACAACGGATATCTCTTTTGGATGACTTTGCTATATGCCCTTTAAGGCTGGATTTAATAGTATCTTCATAATATCTTCATCATAATATCTTCATAATAATATCTTCATTTAGCTTCATAATTCAATGACAAAATAGCTTACACACACACATTCCTAGGTTATTAGGTCATTTATTTAATATAAAACATTTATTGCCTCTGTGTAGGCTTTCTATATGATGCGCAAGAAACAGACAAGCAAATACTGCACCTTGGGTATATGGAAAGCTATTTTACGTACTACATTTGCTGAAAATAAATGATTTAGAAATCTTTCAATTACTTGATTGATGTAGAAAACTCCTTGTGGAAAATAATTATCAAAAAACTAAATAATTTTTTACAGTGGGAACTTTATACTTGTTTTACTAATTAGGTTATGATTTTTGTTCATACTTACCAAACAGAAATGTTTACAAATGAGAGCTGAGGGCAAGTGCTAACAAAATTTTGAATAAGTTGTCATATGAAGGCCAAAGGCTCAGATAGGAAGGGAAAATGAGGACCAACCTAGACAGACACCTGTTTTTTTGATGTTTTTACAGCTTCAATTTCTCTCCTCTGTGCACTTAGTAGTTTCCTACTCTTTTTGGGTGGCATTTTTTTTAACTCCACACGATTCACCTGTGCAACAGCTCCGTCCGTGACCTCCATTTCTGATTAAAGATCTATCACTGGTTTGAACTGTGTGCTCTGCAACAGCATATTCTGTATGATCTTTGTAGTGGAACAGGCCGACGGGCAGCTATTACTGCAAACAGACAATGTCGATAACGAACCTCCAAATTGGAGGCTAAATTTTACACGTATTCAGGAATGGAGAAAAGTTTATTAAATATACCTTTATTTACTCCACAGAAATAATCGAACAGATAGTTGTGTATCGAACAGTCGTCTTTTTCGCACTGGCTGAACCGACACTTTCATCATATACTAAATCCCCAAGTACACGTGGGTCTGCTTCTGAACTCTCAATCTTGTACCAGTTGGTTTGTTTGCCTGGCACGCTATTTTAATTACCGTAAGTTTACAGTACATGTTGTGATCTGGCAAGGCGAGTCTTGCTTGGGTTCTTCATGTTTCAAAATAATCGTAATTTATAAGACATATTTTGCATTTTTCATTGGTGAAGGGCCTGCATTAATGCATTAACAACTGATGGGTGTAAATAAGTTCTAAAGAAACTTAAAAATGAAGTAAGGGCTTTATTTTTCAAAATCAATCATGATGAATTTTTAAAGACATATGAAAAAAATTTTTAACACAATGCTTAAAGGTTACGTTCCATTTAAAGTTATTACAAAATATTGGCTATATTTCCTGTATTGTAGAATACATCCTCGGAAGCCTATCTTACTCCCAGTGGTCTGTACCTTCCACTCCTCCATGCCAATCATTATGAATTTTGACATAAGAATTTGACTGGGATGTTCAGATTAATAAGATGAAAGAGATTATACTCACTATTTATTTTCATAGGTGGATGAATGAAAACTTTCATCAAACCTCACTACATAACATTTTAAAAGTATTAAGACTATTATGCATACCTTTACAATCTATAACATCCAGCATTGAAATAAGTCTCTAAAATTAATTTCTGCTTTAATGTTGTATGAATCTATGAAAACTTTTATTAACACAAACATTTTTTAGAGGCTAGAGATGAGAACTACACGAAAACTAAAAACGAGGAAAAGGTTCAAAGTTTCAAACCTCAACCACCTCTACCCTTTCCAGAGAAGAGCATCACTGCATTCAGGGCGTGCACCTGCCCACTGATGCTCTGCACCTTCATTCCCACCTGACAGCTCTGCAGGTGGCTTGACTGTTGTTAGGCCTTTCCCCTCCCAACACAAGCAAGGAGACTGGCCTAAGAGCTAGAAATCAATCCAGAGGCGAGGTCGTGCAGTAGTAGGGGATGAATTAGCTCTTTCAATATTTCAAAGAAACTCATTATGAACTACCCAATAGTTTTGTGATAACAGTACATTTTCATAAGTATTTCTAAAGTTAAATAATTTAAACTAGAGAAGATTGGTAACGGTAGTCATAATGAATAAGTTGGCTCAACGAAGGATTAAAAAGCATTCAAATTAGTTAAAAAATCTAATTTTGAGAAATAGATTTGGTGGGTAAAGAGCCATAGAATAGATTATCACACATTATTTCTTAAAAACCAGGATTTTTTGATGAGTTGGGAAACTCTGATTCACTGACATCAACTAAAGAGAGAAGTCTACTTCACTTGGTAAACAGTTGCTCTCATCTTTCTTTCCATGAACGATTCAAAGATCACTTGATGCGTGAAACTTCACTTGCATGTTAAGGCTTCAACTCACAACCAGTTAAATTTTGGAACCACTTTTTAAGAAGAAAAAACATTATTTAGGCTTACCATTAAGTTATTTTTCTTATAGACACTAGATGGCACTGGAGAGTAGATGAATGTAGATCCGGGCAGAGGGCGTGAGCCAGGAACCCCACGTACACGGGACCTTGAACCACATGCCTAACTTCGTTAGCATAATTCTTAGAAATAAGCCTACTAAAGTCATTGTGCATTGAACAAAGCCACACAGTTACTCTAAACTACTGGCTGTAAACTGGTTTCTAAGCTAATACACAAACGCCATCTATGAACTTACTTTATGAATTATAAAGTTTGACGTATAATTAGAGATCACTAGGTTTCCAGCTTTCACAAACCACTAATTACGGGTAACACAAGAAAAACTATAGTAATGACATTATAAAAAATGTTACATAGTAAGTGGAGTATGTGACTAGGTGTGAAAGAGAAAACCTGTAGAAACATTAAAAAGTGAATTAAGCAAAATCTTAATCATGGAAAAATCAGTTTTGCCCAACAAACATTTCAAGAGCATCTTGTATATGTTATGTGTCAGACACTGGTATTGGTCAGAACACAAAAGGCTTCCTTTCCCAGCTCCAGATTTCTCACAAATTGCTTCTTCCTTTACTGTCCCTTCTTGTCTATTAAGGAAGAGGCCTCCTAAGCCCTGCTCCACCAGAGGGCTCAGCATCCAAGCTCTTTTCAGGGTCACCAACCCCAGCATCCCTGCCAGCCCCATCAACACCTTGGTTCCCCTCTGCTCGCACGTAAGGTCCTGCGCTGTGATAAACTGTGGATTTCTTGATTTCTCCTACTGGTTGTACCTTCTTTGAGGACAGGAATGATTTTTTATTTATCTTTGTATGCTCAGCAATTTGGCACAGTTTTTGGTATATGGCAGGTGTCTGAAATGGTCTGTTAAATAACATGCATGATGTAACATTTAACCAATGGAGGTTAAATTCAGACTTAGAAAGTTTAAGACTCTTGTCAAAGTCCCAAAGTGGTGAATTGGAACTCACACAATCCAACTCCAGAATCAAAATTCTTTGGAAAACTAAGCTGCTAACTGGGAAACTTGCCTTCTCTTCCCAAGCTCTGAGACAATGTAGACAGCACAGGAATTCTCTCTCCTGAAGGGCTGTCCCCAGTGGAGTGTGAGTACAGAAGTACAGGAAACGATTCTGGTTCATCAATGTGCCCCACGGCTAGCGACTGCCTGACCAAGGCTGGGGCTCAAGAAACAGTGTTAAATAAATGTCCTACCAGCTTTTTAAAACACATTATTTCAACACTGCTTTCAATTTCTTCCATTTACTGGTCTATTACTTTTCTATCATCATTTGCATTAAATGGAGCAATTTATATTTTCCTCAAAAACTGTCCATTTTATCTAGATTTTCACATTTATTAATATAAGTATCCTCTCATAATTTGTCATTTTCACTCTATTGTTTTACTATCTTTTAAATTATCTTCAAAATGATTGTGATAATCATATTTTATGCTTTATTTTTAGTGCTTTAATACCACTTAGGTTGTTTTCTATCATCTCCTAAACTTTCTATGTTTTCTTTAAATTTTTCCTCTCTGGTAATATGAATGTGGCTTTTAAATTCTCCTAGTATAACTTTTGATGTATTTAAATATTATTTAAATTATATTTCTCAATGCATCAATTTCAGAAATTAAATTTTTTCTACTGATTCTCATTTACGAAAAAAGAAATTAATACTTTTATAAGTATAAGAATGTTATAGTCCCTGCCATGTCTGTCTTAATCCTTGGTATTTATTCATATAGACTAAAAATTTTATCTCAGTCCATTTGGGTTGCATTATTATAATTTTGTCACTAAAGTATATATATTTTGTTTTGAAAGTGAGTTATTAAGAAACACTTTCTAACTATGATTCAAAATCCAGAGACAATTTTTAAAAACATTGATAAATATCTATAATATGCTACCTTTCACGTACAAAGGAAGAAATATAAGAAAATATACATGTATCTGCTCATTGTTAAAAAAAATGTTTTATTTTATTTAATATGGTTAGCTTACATTTTAGAAGTATGTCAACATCTGTTGCAAGCAATATGGCAGATTAGATAATTTGACATTCCTGAAAAAAACAATTTTAAAATTATTTAAAAGCTGGATAAAGTATATTTCACAAATATTTTATAATGCATTGCTGGGCTGAGAAGAATGCAGGAATCCACAGAAATCTAAAAGGAAGCAGATAAAGGAACCCTGTGAGGTAAGCAAATCCCAAACTGTCTTTTTCTTGAGAGCATCAACGAAAGCCTAGATATAGAGTTGACGCTTGAACAACATGGGTTTGAACTGTGTGGATCCGTTAATTTATTTCAGTAAATGCCGTGGTAGTACTACCCATCTGCGGCTGATTTGAGTCTGCAGATGTGGACCCGTGGATACTGAGGGCCGACTGTAAAGTTTCATGTGGATTTTCAGCTGCATGGATGGGGCCAGGACCAGCAAAGGGCTATGGGCTCATCTTGGTTTGAAGGGTGAATATACTTACAGCTGCAAGGGGATTACAAGGAAACCAGATTATCTTGGATTTATTGCTGGAGGGAAAATAAAAATCTCCTCTGAAAAATAATAACTGCACATCATGTGGATTTGAGGCTTGCATCTGTACCACTCAGTAGTCTGAAAAAAAATCTCAACTAGATCATTTGATTAAAATTGTCCTGAATTGATACTGCCTTAGGTGATTGACAGAAGTGTTTGATTGATACATTGATTGATACAATGTATCAATTGATTGATCAATACATTGATACATTGATACAGAAGTGTTTTCTAAATCATAATCACGCAGAAGTATGCAAACAATGAAGTGAAAAGTATAGCCAAGTGATTAACAGCATGGGGTTTGGGAGTCTAAATCCAGGCTCCAAGAGTCAAGCACCGTTGGAGATGCCCACACTGCAGACCCAGGCCTCGAGGCGCCCGCCGCTCTTCGACCTCTGCAAACAAGGTCTCCCCATTCTCCCCATTCTCCTTCAAGTGGAGCAGAAAAGGGCCGACCCACCGTGGCAGCCTCGGCCTAGGGTTCATATCATTTCTTTTCAGGTAAACAGCTAGAATGCTGAGTCCACGATCCAGGTTTCAGTAGAGAATCTGACTGGTCCCCGTTTGGGCCACAAAGAGCTGTGACTGAAGGTCAGGGGTCACATGAAACAAACACGGCTGCCATGGCCAACCCCTGTGGGTTTGTCTGGAGGTGTCGGGGAAGGAGGAATGAGATGCGGACTATCGCAGTTACATGATAATAAACGTACCAGATATCATAAAAATTACGGCAAATTATATAATAATTTTCTGAAAGGAAGTTTTGATTTTTAAGTAAAAATCTCAAATTTTAGAAACAATTTTTGGAATGAAGAGGAAAGAGATCTGTTTGCTATTTCAGTAGCTTAGCCATTCTAAAATACTATCGGTATGTAAAACATAAAGTATTTACAAGTGGGAGTAATTGTGAATAATTCAATTTACTAAACCCTCTTGTTGACTGTTTATGCGAAAGGCACTAGGAGAGATGCTAGGTGAATACAGAAGTGAATAAGGAAAGGTCCTTGTCCTAAAGAGCTTTTAATCTTGTAACATAGATTATCACAACGCAAGGGGAAACGAGGGCCGTGCAAATGGAGAGGATCAGTTATGAGCTAAGTCGTTCAGCCAATAAATACTTTTTGTGCAACTACTGCTGTGCTTTGCACATGAATACTATTAAAAATCTCAGACTACTGTGTCTCTATTCCTACTAACATTTTATATAATATAAATATTATATAATATTATACTATATATTTTGTGAGTTTTGATTACTCACAAAAACAAATATCACATTGCAAAAATACATCCCAAATCTCAAATAACAATACCAAACGCACAAGAAATACACAGTAAAAGTTTGCAAAATAACCTTGTAACGGAGTCTTATATATTTCGGCTATGAATATAGGTGTTATTGGTTCAGAGCATTTTTCTAAAATGTTACATATGTGTTAATACCATAATAAAACTCAGATGCCAGTAATGGAATGCCTCGAAATACTTTTGAAAGTGCCTATGCAAGCTGCACTTGACAGTGGACTGTGCTTGCAGTGAGTCAAACCAGAAACACAGGGTCTGCCTGGCGCACCAAAGGCTGGACCAGGCACCCCTGGGCAGCCCCATGCCACCAAACAGTCTGACCCACGGCCGCCACAGCTCAGGAATCTATACCTAGCAACTCCATCCCTGCACTTTGAGAGTCATCTTAAAAACTATCTAAAATATTCACATAAAACTTCTGCTCTCATTTTCTTCTACTGCAGATTGTGTGTGAAAAAGGCATAGACTGTCCCTGACATCCCAGCCCACAGTGAGGAAAGACCTTCTATACCAAACAGTAAGTCTAGAAATGCCATTCAGAAAATAGGATGCCACAAACCAAAACCAAAACAATTAAATTATATGATTTTATGCCTAAATGTCACCATGTTGGCAATATTCCCAACTGGTAATAACCACATATAGAAACAAAATACAAAATGAGCTTTAAGGTACTTAATTATGATACATCTATTAAGTTGTTTGTAACATAATAGTTTATCTTTTTAAAGAAGCTTATAACATTCTCTTATCTAGAGCACCTATATCTAAATTTAGATACTTACATTATTACACTCTCCAAGGAAATACAGTGCAAATCCATCAGCTTTCGTGGCTGTCAAAGTAATAAAAAAGGAAGAAACTAATCTCAATGGAAGAATATAACATGCGTGAATTCTCTAAGGTGAGACCTCAAATATGAGTCTTTTGAATGGATTTGTTAGCAAAATTAACGGTCATGCAGTAAACTGAACAAAATAATTTATGGCTTTACTGAATCACATAATTAGAATATTAGCTATTGCAATTTTTAAGATGTGACACCCGCAAATGCATACAGCAATGTACTATGTAATAATCCATCTGTCAAAATGTGCATATCAGAACTATTAGAAAATATTTTTTAAATTTGAGACTTACATTTAATTTTTAAAGTATTTAAAAACAGACAAAGGGATATTCATAATACTGGATAACCAATAATATAGGCATCAACCGGAAAGAACGACGTACATATGCTTATATATCATCAGTGAAGAGAACATAATTTAACTTTATCTTCGGTTTAATTTTTCTACTAGGAGGAATATAAAACGTTTCTTACCAATTTTAATGATGCTACTCAATTCATAGAGGAGTAGTTGGTTGTCTCCTCCTGTATCCAACCGTTGTTCTATATAGCTGTTTAGTTCGTATACAACTCCCTGCATATTTGTATCTTGATACTATGAATAAAAGAAAAGACATAATTAAATATAATAAAATAAAAATTCCTTAGTTTGTAAAACATACTATTAATATATATGGCTTTATGTTATGTAATAGCTATTCATTATGCTTTTATAGAGCATGATTTAAATATTATGATCTACTATAAACACAGATTGAAAATTAAAATTGCTACAACTTACTCAGAATTATCTATAGACTCCATGCATGCTTATTTATGCTAAAACATCGAATGTTACAAATTACAATTTTGTTTCTGAAGTTTTATATTGATATATGATGTATCAGGCAACTAGATCAGTAAAAACAGTTCGAAAGTTTGCTAACTGAATGAAACATCCTAATATGCTAGAAAAGCCCCCCCGTGCATCGCACCGGGTGAAACAAAGTCTATTACTCTCCACTCACTTGGGTCCACGTGGCGACCACTCTAGTCTGACCTCAATTCTGTCACTAGAACGAGCTCAGGAGCCGCCGCCGTAGTAGCAGCAGCCCCGCTGCAAGCCCGTGGCCCTAGGCTGCACCGCGGTGCAGGAACAACAGCAGGTGGACAAAGGTCTGGGAAGAAGGTGGAAGCGAAACTGCTATAACCAGCACTGTGTCTTCTTCAAAGGGCTGAAAACAGTCTTCTAGGGAGCTTCCCTGCTACACAGCTTGCCTTCCTAAGCCTCTTCTAACATCAACCATGGCGAACTTTAAAATAAAATAAAATTCTGTGGCTCAAAACACTCTTGGGGGTTTTCCCACTGTACTTAGAACAACAGCCTCCTCCCAGCGTGGCCTTCGCACTGCAAGATGTGGTTATTTTCTGCCTTGGAATCCGTCTCAAGCCACCTCTCTCTGTCTCTCTCTGTCTCTCTCTCTCCCCCCCACCTCTTTCTCTCTCTCTCTCTTTCTCTCTCTCTCTCTTTCTCTTCCTCTCTCTCTCTCTCTTTGTCTCTCTCTCTGTCTCTCTCTGTCTCTCTCTCTGTCTCTGTCTCTCTCGCCCTCTCTCTCTCTCTCTCCCTCTCAGCAGGCCTATTGCTTCCTGTTACTGTTGAGCACTGTACTCAGTAAACACCTGTGAAATGAATAAAGAATGGCTGAACCAGTCAGTCAATCATTCCACAGACATGTGCAGCCAATCCTGACAACCTACTATACGTAGGAACACTTCTAGAAACAAAAGATGCTAGAGCATGAACAAAATAAAGTTCCAGTCCTCAAGGAACTTACATTCCCGTTGGAAGAGAATAAGTAATCTACACGGTGTGAAGGAAGGCAGTGGTCACGGTGCAGAAAGGAGAGCTGGGACGGCTGACAGTAAATGCCTTTGGAGGGAGAGGGCTACCTTTTAAATAGGATGGTCAGGGAAGGGAAGGTTCAGTGACATGAGATATGGGGACAGACTCCAATGAAACTTAGAACCCGTAAGGGCTGAAGTCTGCCCATCATCCACCACCTCTCTTGGCTTCTGACCTATTACCCAGAAAATCAAGTATCAAGGATGACTTGTCAAGAGATGAGTACACACCGAAGGGAATGGATTAGATTTAGCTGAGGTATAGAAACCTCGGAAACAAAGGAGAATGGCATAGGCTGGTGCTATTCGCAGGTGCTGGAACACGCTAGAATAAAGACGATGGTGGAAGGCAAATTTATACGGGGGCAAAAAGCAGAAGTACTGGCTTCAGTGCGCCAGCGCTTGCTTGGCTAAAACCTACTCCCCCAAATGGCTGACATTAAATGAGGCTGAAAACCAGAACTTCCCTGGTATATATTCCAACCTTGGCAACACTGGAATGCTAGAGGGGATTTGTCCTGCACGGCCCGTTTACCCATCCCCTAGCTATATCCCACGGGCACTCCCTTCATCAAGGCCATGAAAAATGCATCCCGAGGCCACACCCGCCTGGCCTGTGTGAAGAGCTCTGCGGTGTGGGCCTCGGATGACACCGCCCTCCAACAGGGTCCCCTGCTTCACTGAGAAGATGGGATCTTGGCGTCGAGGGGACAAGAGGCAGCACATAATCTCCAGAGATAAGGTATTGTTAGCAAGATGGACAGAACTGAAGCTGCTATCAGAATGACCTGGCCAGCAGAGCTCTTCGACATTGGATCAAGCACTCGATCAGTGTTCCTGGAACTGAAATAGGTAGGGCCACCTACTATTTTTTCATTTGTCTGGAGAGAGAAGTTCTGGGTTAAGCGAACAAAAATCTGACTTAATTACCACAGCAGGAAGTCAGGTACCTCAATGAATTCCAGACTTGAGCCACGTCACAGAACTTCTTGAATAAAGCCAGGGGAGACCAGGTCCCCTTGAGGAAGGATTTTGATTCACAGCCCCAACTTTACAGGGCTTCTTCCTACATTCCCCAAAGAGGTCTGCTGTCTTTAAGCTGGGTAACTGTGCACTGGGCGAAGGGGAAATTAGCAGAGGGATAGTGAAAAGGTGCATAAGAATCAAGAACACTTGAAATTCCGATGCCTACAAAACGTGACAGCATTGTGCGGGGTCGCAAAAGCTTTTGTTGTTTCTTATCATCTGTAAAAAGATCCTATTTGAGCTATTCCAAGTTCTGAAGAACTCCAGAGAAAATATTCTACTCTAATATACCCTTTCTTCCTTACTGCTCATCAGAACCACTCATTCTATAACCCCCCCACCCCAAAGTCCTGGGAAAGAGCTTATCTGAGACTGAAGCCAAGAGATAGAGACTGAGTCATAATGACAGACTTTGAACCCCTAGACCCAGCCATGCAAAAGCCTTCAAGCCTAAAATTCTATCCCTAGGCATTTCTTTTTCATGAATCAATCCATTCTTCGAATATACCCTCTTTTTGGTGGGGAAGGGATACTTTAGCTAGTTTTAAGGTGGGTGTTTAGTCACTCAATAGAGGAGTCCCTATAAAAATGATATACAGACTGACCCTTTTCTCTGACAATGTAATTCCGAGAATAGGCCCTTTAAAATGACCAGAATGCAGCGCTGACATTAATGACCAGCTGTTCTCCATCTCTTTTGGACAGGAAATGGGTTGTCACACACAAGTGAGAACAAGAAGACATTTGGGGTTATGGACAGTTTATCATGAGATTTCCTTTCAAGTCTCTGGGCTTCATTTTTTTCTTTTGTGTAACAAGAAGATTGAAATATATTGTCTTTAAAATACCTTTCAACAGTAACCTTCTGTGATGATCTATGACCTCGATTTTGTTGTTGTTTGTATTAAACTTCAAATTCTAATCTTGAACCTAACAGATGGGTTAGTACACCCTGTTCGCTTTGATAAGCAATGACAATTGCATAAATCTCATAAGAGAAAAATGTTTAATTATGATTACTAAACTATACAAATGTAATATTACCTCTAAAATATTAAAGACGTACATCCATAGTTAGTGGATCGTTCAAACCATAATATATTGAAAACTTTAAATTATATATAAATGTGAATAACAGGAATAATTATTATTTGGTTCTTATCCTTATGGCCATCTTGCTGGTCATGAGCCCTAACACGAGAGGGAAGGAAGACGCAACAAGTGGAGATGAACATCCAGAAACGCACTTCTCTTACGGAAACAACATGATGAAGAAAGTTTACTAAGGGATCAATTCCATTCAGTTGAATAAACTTTCAATTCTATGTCTTGACTAATAGAAAATTACGATAGTATATTCATGAAGTTGTTAAGAACTTGTGTTTGCACAGCATTTTTAACGTCACAAAGTCCTTTCACCACTGCCTTTATTAAAAGAACCCATATAAAGTATATACTGAGTATCACTGAGACATTCCTCAATCAAGATGAGTTAGAACTCTAAGGTACAATGAGTTGGGCGGTATAAACCTTAGAATCAAACTGGACATGGCCAACCTCATTTTCTGTTCCACGCTGGTTTTCATGCAGTACTTGCTTTTCATTAGAACAACCACTAAAACAATGGATTTGCAGAGATATGACTTCATTGACAGGACTGTAGTGACCTAACATTAAAACTGGGAACTATGTCAGGTTACTACTGAAACTGTGAGCTCCAGCAAGCTCTGACAGACGGTATTGTTTCCCATGAAACAATGGGATGTCCTAAATCCCATTAGTATGTCCTAAATCATCCCTGTGGGTTTGTTGTGGTGCCTAACGGCATTTGGAACACAGTTTGGGAAGCAGGGGAACGGCCACTCTTTCAGCCAGAGGGAAACAGTATTTTATGAGACACAGTGGTAATGAATGGAGAAGTATTAACTCTTGGTTCAGAAAGAAAGCTGAGACCTGGTCTCACCAGAAGAGTAAATGTCCTCAGACTTGCTAAAGTGAATTAGGCGTTTAAACACAGATTGGAAGACCACCACAAGAGTTTAGAGGCAATTCAAGAATGGAATGGGAGAGAGAACAAGATGAAGTCTGTGATGCCTGCTGGCCCCAAGAGCCCATGACTCTGTGAGGGGTTACTGACATATCTCGAAGCACTGTAACAAACACACTAGAAAACAGAGTGACATGGGTGTTGAGTTGGATAAATACTTAAAAGCATGCAAAATGAGCTCTTAGTTTCCAGTATGAAGCTCAACGTTTGAATAATATCTTCTCATCATCATTCTTTAGATTTTTCCTGTTTCTTTTTTAAATTTACTTTTTTAAAAAAAATAACTTTTTGTTTTGATGTAATTTCAAACCTACAGAAAACTACAAGACTAGTACATGAAACTCCCGCATACCAACAATTATTTACATTTTGTCATATTTGCCTTAACTCTTGGTAAATTATTTCCCTTCCTTCCTTCCTCCCTCCTTCCTTCTCCTTCTCCTCCTTCTTTTTCTCTTTCTCCTTCTTCTTTCTCTCTCTTGCTCCATCTTTTCTATCTATACACACACATATATACACACAACAGTAATAAATATTTTTTTCTGAATATTTGAGAACAAGTTGGTATGCTCCTTTTACCCAAACCTTCAGTATATACTTCCTAAGAAAAAGAATATTAAGAGAATACACTGAATTTGTAC